GCTCCTCGATATAACGACGGGGCCCTGAACTGGACTTGACAGAATTCCAGACCAACCTGGTGCCCGTACCCCGCATCCCTTCCCTGGCCACCTACGCCCCTGTCATCTCAGCCGAGAAGGCTACCACGAGCAGCTGTCCGTGGCCGAGATCACCAATGCCTGCTTCGAGCCGGGAATCAGATGGTCCAAGTGTGACCCTCCGACATGGCAAGTACATGGCCTGCTGCATGTTGTACAGGGGGGACGTGGTCCCAAAAGACGTCAAGGCCATTGCCACATCAAGACAAGCGCACCATCCAGTTTGTGGACTGGTGTCCGACTGGATAAGGTAGGAGTGGGTGATGTCGATTCTTTGTACCTGTCGCCAGCAGCAGACCAGGGCTGTCCCTGTGGGGAGACTGCCTCTGTTCTGTTGTTTGGGCTCTTGGTCGTAAGTTACGCGAGCCAGAGTGATAATTTATTTGTGTTGTTATTTGAACTTCTTATGAGTTATCAGATTCTATACCTGTGGTGAGCTTTTTTTTTTTTTTTTAAACAGTAAGGCACTTTTGAAGGATTTCTGTCCCCTCTTTTTGCTGATAGAATTTAGTGTAGAAAATGTAGGTTAAATGTAACATTTGAGATTCTTCTTGGTGATTCACATGAATAGTGTAGAGATTTTAACTTGGGCATTGTTATCAACTGACTGCTGCCCTAAGCTCCCCCTTCACTCTATAGATCTGTAGAAATTAAATCAAATTTGAATGTCCTATGGAGTGTTTGATTTAACAAAACTATCATGAATGCTTTTTGTGACAAGAATGGCAACATCTTTATTTCCCTCTGGTAATCTTAGGAATTCTCGCCTGGTTTTGCCTGAAACCCAAAATATGATCAACCTTCCAGTGACACAAGATAGAAACTTTACTGTCATTTTTAGCTTTCCAACAGTTGAGTACTCATCCTGTCAGTTCTTTCTGTCCTAGGTCTGCTGTCCTTGCGCCTTTTTTTTTTTTTTTGAGAGAGAGTCTCACTTTGTTGCCCAGGCTAGAGTGAGTGCCGCGGTGTCAGCCTAGCTCACAGCAACCTCAAACTCCTGGGCTCAAGCAATCCTCCTGTCTCAGCTTCCCGAGTAGCTGGGACTACAGGCATGCGCCACCATGCCTGGCTAACTTTTTCTATATATATGTTAGTTGTCCAATTAATTTCTTTCTATTTATAGTAGAGATGGGGGTCTCGCTCTTGCTCAGGCTGCTTTCGAAGTCCTGACCTTGAGCGATCCACCCGCCTCGGCCTCCCAGACTGCTAGGATTACAGGCGTGAGCCACCACGCCCGGCCTGTCCTTGTGCTTTGCTTCTCATGCTCGGACCCTCACTGCTCCTGGTGGGAGCACTGCAGTAGCTTCTTAGAACGACCAGGATGTCCTACTCTGGGGTGCTTCCTCTCATGCAGGGTAGCATGGTTGGTGGAACAGCCACCTAATTTTTTATACGAGGTTCCATCCAAGCACAGCCACTCCCCTTCATTCACGTAGCGTTTTGCTCCGCAGCAGCAGAGTTGAGTAGTTGTGACAGAGATCAGGTGGCGCGTGAAGCCTAGAATTTGCACTGTCTTGCCCTTTGGTGACCTTGTACACTTCGGCCAACCTCAGGTCATGTTATTCCTGGGTCTGACACTTGGAATGCTTCCCCTTTGGTCCTTACCTTGGAATGTCACCCCCCCATCCCCACCTCAGGTGAGCAGGCACATTGATCACCTCTGCTGCTGTGGCGGCAGCGTTCACAAGACCTTTGATGGTTGATCTGTAACTTCTTCATTTGCACACAGTGGCTTGCTTGGTGGGTCAGCGACCGTGGGCAGATCTTCCCTGTGATATCAGAGAAAATAAAGATGTTGCCATTCTTGTCACAAAAACATTCATGATAGCTTTCCTTTAAATCAAACACTCCATAGGACATTCAAATTTGATTTAACTTCTACAGATCTATAGAATGAAGGGGGACTTAGTGATAGCAGTCAGTTGATAATAATTCCTAAGTTAAAATGTCTACACTATTCACGTGAATCACCAAAATACCCTCAAAATGTCTACATTTACCCAACATTTCCACCCTAAATTCTACCAGCCAAGAAAGGGGCACATAGATTCAGTTGTATACCCTGAGTCTATCTGGGTGGAAGAAGTTCCAGCTTTAGAAATTCATCTGTATTTTGTTAAAGCCTATGGAGTAAATAATCTACAGAGAAGATGAGGCCGTGTACATTTTCAGAGGGAAGACAGAGTCCCTTCAACTGTAAAGCTATCGTATGTCACAGTTGCTAGGACACAGCTTTCCTGGTAGCTTGGGACTTAGCCTGGGGGGCTGTCTCCAAGGCTCCTCTTTTCCTGCTTTTTCCTTGTCTGGACCCATCACCTGCTGTCCCAGCACCGTGCCTGGCACAGAGAAGGGCTCACTGACTGTTTGTGGGGTGAGCTGAGCATTCTCTCTGGTTACCACAGGGCACCTACAGCATGTGTTCTGTTTGAGATAAAGTAGCCACTATTTCTGGGTTTGATAAGAGTTTCATAGAATGCTTTGTTCCCCTTCTCCCACAGGTGGGCATTAACTACCAGCCCCCCACTGTGGTCCCCGGGGGAGACCTGGCCAAGGTGCAGCGGGCCGTGTGCATGCTGAGCAACACCACCGCCATCGCCGAGGCCTGGGCCCGCCTAGACCACAAGTTCGATCTCATGTATGCCAAGCGGGCCTTTGTGCACTGGTATGTGGGAGAAGGCATGGAGGAGGGGGAGTTCTCGGAGGCCCGAGAGGACCTGGCCGCTCTGGAGAAGGATTATGAAGAGGTGGGCGTGGATTCCGTGGAAGCCGAGGCTGAGGAAGGGGAAGAATACTGAGGGGGCACGTGGGCAGGTGCCCATCTCTCCAGCCACCCTTCAGCATGGCTGCTTTCAAGTTGTTTACAATTAAAGTTTCTGTACAAAACCAAAACCTCTGTGTCGTGCCACTTGGTTCTGCCTATAGGAGTGGATGGGGGTCCCAGAGCCCTTGAGGACAGCTGTGTTGCTGGAGGGGGGCTGGGGTGCAAGTGCAAGTGCTACTGGACGTATTTGAGGAGCCACTGCCGAAGTGAGTTTACCAGGAGGAAGGAAATACTCGGTATTGCAAAGCCAAGGTTTCAAGGTATAAAGATTTATCATCTTTGCTCTTCTGGTGCAAAAAAAAAAAAAGAAAAATATAAATTGTTTTCAAGAAAAAAGTATAAAATTTTTTAATAATTAAAAAAAAAAGATTTATCAAATTCTGGGGAAGCTGAGTCAGGGTTTTCCATTCCATTTGCCATTGTGGGGCTTCTGTATGGCTGGGACATGCTGACTGAAGTGTAAGGGCTTAGAACTGTAGTGTTTAAATCCGAGGTCTGTGGATGGGGGTTGCCCAGGAAATCCCTAAAGCTATGGGTTATATGTGTAACGTCAGGATGTTTTGCGGGGCAGAGTGTTACAGAACTCTCTGTGGCATTCATGACCCACCCAGGTCACAACATGCCCATCCTGACCTCACTGCCCCAGGGTAATGTGGACAGTAGCATTCTCCCTGAGCACACACAGCACCGCTGCCCTCAGCAGTCAGTGGACTTAGCCACACCTTTTGCAAGTGCAGAGTGTTGATGTCTGCTTATAAAAAGACCTGCCAATACATGTTTTCTCTCAGACTCAAAAATCAGGTCCAGGGAGTTGAATCAAGTTTAAGTCCCTTGGTGAGTTCAGCTGTAGCATAACCAGGACCAGCACAAGGAACTCATTTTGTGCCTTAATATATTCAAAAGGTGATAGAGAACATGTGATCTAGACCCTCCACTTTTCAGAAAGGTTTATTGCCAACTGAAGGAAACAACACGTAGCCGTTGGCAGGAGGATGGGGAGCCCTCAGCAGGCGTGTGTGTGCCAAGTCTCTGCCAGTCCTAGGAGCTGTTCCGGGTGGGGCTCTTGCCAGGCCCACCCCCCTTGGGCAGCCTGGTGGCACTGGGCTGGCGGGGCATCCTCTGGCTGGGTCCTTCCCGGCTGCTGCGTTCTGCCAGGCCTGGCACTCCACTGAGCGTGGTGCTGCCTTTGTTTCTCCCTGGGAAGACACAGAGCAGAGTCGTTAGGAGCGGCAAGCTCCATGACCGCAGCACACCTGCTGTACTTGGGCTCCCTTAGCAGCATTTACATCTATGTTTCTGTCAAAGCCATTTCAGCTGGAGACCCTACGTCAGCCCCAAGTCCTGAGGCTCAGAAGACAGCTCATCGTAGAAAACACCTCAGCTACAGGTCCATTTAGGGAAGGAGAGCCCAGCTGGTCACACCTGGCCTGTACAAAGTATGTGGTCAGCCCCCAGACCCCATGCCAGCACAGAGGAGGGGCTAACTGCCCCATACTCTGTGCACAATCACACTGGACCCTTCCTCCAAGCTGCCCTAACCAGACTGTGAGAGGAAGCACAGCAGTTGCTAAGTACTTAAGGCAGGCTTCTGATTTTGATTTTGAAAGCTTTCTCACATTTTTCCTACCTATCAGAGTATTCTGCAAACACAGTGGTCAAGCCTCTTGCTCTTGGGTTTAGCTGCTGGAGTTCATGATTGCGTTCCCGCTGAGGCTTGAGACTTTCCTTCTGACTGCTAGATGGTCACACTCGGATGAAAACCACCAGTTTAGATTTTCCTGGGTTTACAATTTGCTTACTTTACACTTTTTTAATGAAGATAGCCAGAAAGATCTGCAACCACACTTGGGCCAAAGCTTTATTTTAAAGGAGTGGCTTCCCCCGGGCTCAGGGTGTTGATAGCAACAGTGAGAGTGTTTAAGAGGACCCCATAGGGGACAATATGTGCCTGGTGAGCAGGCTTGCCTGTGGCATCACAGTCCCTCTCACGTGGACTGCCTTAGCCAGGGCTCTCTTCTGCTCTAACCTGGCAGGGTCCACCCTGTGGGCTCTAACCAGGGCATGGGTCCCCTAGGTCCCCACCATTTGTCCTTGTCCTGAACAAAACCAGTATGGCAATGCCCTGTGACCTGGCCAACTGCAGGTCTTCCCTGCAGGCTTGAACCCTAGTTGGGGCCTTGAATATTCCAGACAATGATAAATGTGTTTAGAATGTTGCCTGAAACACTGAAAGACCAACCATGTTGCTAAACACATGGAAGCTGGCCCTGTCCCCAGTTACATTCCTTGGACCCTCACATGAACCGTGGACCTGCTTGGGTAGAACATCCCTCCCTCAATGCCCATCATGAGGACATGCTGGGGCCCCTGCGTGTACGTCCCAATAAAAGCTTTGCACTGATCTCCCTGCGTTCAGCGTTGCTTTCTGTGGAGTTCCAACCAGCCTCATCTTGGAAGGTTTGGACAGACAACACCAGGCATCTTATTAAGTTTAGTGTAAGAGCCTGCAGTGAGGAACTGAATTCTTGGAGAAAAGATGCAGTGGGGTGTCTCAGTGGTTCCTTAGGTCATTTCTGCTTCACCATCTGTCACCTTTAGCAAGCGGAGGCACCTGTGTCGAAGGCACCACAGACCCTGGCTCCTCCAGAGGCACTTCCGGCTCACTTTCCACCTCCCCAACACTGATGGTGAAATAAATTCTCCCCAGAGTCCTGCAGGCAAAGGCAGCCTTCCTTATGAGAATTTCTGGAAAGTTTTTGCTCAGAGAACAAGCAGATCTCTGCTGCCCAGTGGGGTGGAGCGGGTTATGGTGGTGTCACTTAGAACCCTGAGAGCTCCTTGGCTTGTCCCCTGCCTTGCCTCCCTGGGCTCCACACCCACCCCTGACAAAGACTTATGAGGGTTCCCCAGAGCCATGGAGGGGCGCAGCTGGGGGCATGCAGTGGGGTGAAGCTGGGCCAACGCAGCCTCTACCAGTGACTCATGAAAAGGACACAAGTAGAGAAGTGTCACCACACATTTCCTTTGGTACAAACTGCCATTATTCTGGTCCTCACTGGTCAGTGGGCGAGGATCCCATCCCGAGTGCATGGCCCCACCACCCTGCGGCATCTCCCACACCAGGCCAGGCCAGGCCGAACTGGACCTTCTGTGGTTCTGCTGTGGCAGCTGGCCTAACCCTGGGTGCTCAGGTGACCAAACGCCTCAAACACCCCTCTCAGTGAAGGGTGTTTCCTGGGGCCGCAGAAAGGTGACCCTAGCAAGTGGCAGGGGGACCTCCGCCGTGGGCCCGACTCTGAGTCTGGTCCCTTCAGCTCTGCCACACACCTGAGAGGTTCCTCTCCACTGTCCCTCAGTGCAATGACCATGTCTGTCCTGGGAACTCAAGAAGGATGAGAGGGAAGTAGAAAGAGCATGTAATGCTCATCTTTAAATCTGACAGGGCTGCCACACCCCCAGAACATGACACCACCGTAACCGTGAGCCACAGGGGACAGTAAGAAAGCCACCCTGGAATACTTTAGGAGTCACGTGCTCTCGTGGTTGGTGGGGTGTAAGTGGGGAACCCCACTTGGGCCTCTGCACTGTGCGTGGGGCTACAGGACCAGCTCTGCTCAGCTGCGCACTCGGGTGGGGCCGCCGGGTCAGCTGGGCTGGGGGCTAGGGCTGAACCAGGAATGATTGTGGTTGGGGTGGGAGGGCAGGGACAAGTGATGTGCCCAGGCCCTGCCCCTGGAGGGCCCTCTAAGTGCCAAAGACAGACAACGCCCCTCAGAATGTTCCAGCAGCCTGCCTCATGTGCTGCTAGATCAACGCTACTGCGACCCCTGAAACAGTGGGTGGCCACTCAGTTTTGTGAGCCAGTGAAGCAACACTCAGAATGCAGCAGGCTATCCGCCTCCCGTGACTCAGGTGGTCCCTGAAGCTGAGCAGTGGGCCAGACTGGGGTGGGGCCCGGTCTGCCATTTACCTTTGGTGTGGCCTATGTGAGCCCAACCCACAGCCCCTGTCAACTGCTGGGCAGAGCTGGGGAGACGAACATTTGTCCCTTCCTACTGGTTGCCAGGGTGGCCTTTGTCCTTTCACAGTGGGAACGTTATCTCACAGCAACATGGGCCAGTGAGTATTAGTATTAAGAAGGAAAAGAACAAAGGCAGGACAAAGAGGAGAGGTGAGAGAACTGAGAGAGGGAAGGAACAAAAACAATGAGAGAAGTCACCATGTCAACTCTTCGATGTCACAATGGCTGGTGGCAGCATAGCAGGTTGCCCCCAAACCTCCACAGTATTCAAACCCTCCTGGTGGAAACCAACTTGGCTTTCAGGCAAAGTGCTCAGCTCTCCCGAGGACAGCTGGCAGGGTCTGGTGGCCAGGGTGGCCTGAATTGTTACCAGCCAGGACTGCTGCCCTCTCTGGCCAGGCATACACTAGGGTCCTAATTAGTGCTTCCAGAACACATACAGACATAGTGACCAGGACAGACATGCAACATGGATGGGCACATGTGCACTTCTAACTCAGCCCAGCCTATACTTCTTTTTTTTTTTTTTTTTTGAGACAGAGTCTCGCTTTGTTGTCCAGGCTAGAGTGAGTGCCATGGCGTCAGCCTAGCTCACAGCAACCTCAAACTCCTGGGCTCGAGCGATCCTTCTGCCTCAGCCTCCCGAGTAGCTGGGACTACAGGCATGCGCCACCATGCCCGGCTAATTTTTTATATATGTATCAGTTGGCCAATTAATTTCTTTCTATTTATAGTAGAGACGGGGTCTCGCTCTTGCTCAGGCTGGTTTTTTGAACTCCTGACCTTGAGCAATCCGCCCGCCTCGGCCTCCCAAGAGCTAGGATTACAGGCGTGAGCCACCGCGCCCGGCCAGCCTATACTTCTTGAGAAGGTGTTTCTCCACGGAGATGTGCCTGGTGACCCCTCCCCGGACATGCACACGACCCACAGCCCTGAGTGGGGGCTGCAGGGAAAAGCTTATAGTGGATGTGCTGGAGCCACTCTGTCCAACTGGAATACCATGTTAACCATGTAGCTATTTATTTTTTTTTAAGAGAGCAATACTCTCTTATTGCTCTGTCACCCAGGCTGGAGTGCAGTGGTACGACCATAGCTCACTGCAGCATTGAACTCCTGAGCTCAAGTGATCCTCCCACCTCAGCCTCCCGAGTGGCTGGGGCTACGGGCTTGCACCACCATGCTGGGCTGATTTTTACATTTTTTTTTTTTGTAGAGACTTGGTTTCATGATGGTGCTCAGGCTGGTCTTGAACTCTGGGCCTCAAGCAATCCTCCTACCTCAGCCTCCCAAAGTGCTGGGATTATAGGTGTGAGCCACCATGCCCGGCCCATACACCTAATTTTAAATTGTTTACTAGCTAGGTTAAAAAGTAAAAGAATTGTAAGCTATTGTTTCTTTTCTTTTTTTTTTTTTTTTTGAGACAGAGTCTCACTCTGTTGCCTGGGCTAGAGTGCCGGGGTGTCAGCCTAGCTCACAGCAACCTCAAACTCCTGGGCTCAAGCAATCCTCCTGCCTCAGCCTCCCGAGTAGCTGGGACTACAGGCATGCGCCACCATGCTCGGCTAATTTTTTTTCTATATATTTTTAGTTGTCTGGCTCATTTCTTTGTATTTTTAGTAGAGACTGGGTCTCGCTCTTGCTCAGGCTGGTTTTGAACTCTTGACCTTGAGTGACCCTCCCGCCTCAGCTTCCCAGAGTGCTAGGATTACAGGCGTGAGCCACCGTGCCCGGCCTATTGTTTATTTTTTAAAAAAGAAAACGGACATTAACTCAAATAATAGATGCTGCATTTGCTTTTGTACCAATTCTTTGCCATCTGCCATGTACTTACACAGTGAGTTGTGGCTACACCAGCCATGGGTGGCCCATGGTTCCCCTATCAGGTGGCACAGCTCATGTGAGACTCACGCCTTCCACATACCCAAGGACATCTTACATGTTCTGGAGGCACATCTCTTTACAATAAAATGTATAGTCTCCCAAAACTGAAACAGAGCACGCTCAGCTAAATTTAATTGTCCCTAAATGACGTCAGCTCCTCAGTGTGACAACTATCACCCCTCTGTGCTTCTGGGTCTTTCATGTCCCCTTCTCTGCTGGGTGTAAGAGCCTGCTGGTGGTAGTCCCCGTGGGCCACCTGGAAGCCTGGGGGACAGGAACCTAGATGACCTGGCTGCTCCTGCTGCAGCTCTCCAGAGGCGTGGATACAGAGAGATAGCAGCACTCATATGCTGCTGGTGCGACTGCAAACTAGTACAAGCTCTGTGGAAAGCAGTATGGAGATGCCTCAAAGAACTATAAGTATGGCCAGGCACGGTGGCTCACACCTGTAATCCTAGCACTCTGGGAGGCCGAGGCGGGCGGATTGCTCGAGGTCAGGAGTTCGAAACTAGCCTGAGCAAGAGCGAGACTCCATCTCTACTATAAATAGAAAGAAATTAATTGGCCAACTAATATATATAGAAAAAATTAGCTGGGCATGGTGGCGCATGCCTGTAGTCCCAGCTACTCGGGAGGCTGAGGCAGCAGGATTGCTTGAGCCCAGGAGTGTGAGGTTGCTGTGAGCTAGGCTGACGCCACGGCACTCACTCTAGCCTGGGCAACAAAGTGAGATTCTGCCTCAAAAAAAAAAAAAAAAAGAACTATAAGTAGAACTATCATTTGGGCCAGCAATCCCACTACTGGGTATCTACCCAAAAGAAAAAAAAAAAAGACATTCTATAAAAAAGACACCTGCGCTCAAATGTTTATAGCAGCACAACTCATAATTGCAAAGCCTGAGTGGGGCTGGCCCATGGCCTGGGCAACTGCACAACACGAGTCTGTGGGAAATCAAGGGCCACCAGGCCCCCCAGCTGGGTCACTCCGACATCCCCCTTGTTTTCTCTATCCCATACCCTGCCATTAGCAGGGCAGCTGCAAGGTCTGTGTGGTCAGAGGCTGTGACACTCGGGCCTGAGAGACCTCTCAGTGTCTCGTCTGGTGGTCTCTGCCTTGAGTCCTGGCCTTCTGCGGCCTGGCCTATGCCTCTAGGGCTGAGCCCTTGAGGAGCAAATGACCCTGAGGGGCCCAGCACTCCAGGCCACTCCTGTCCTTGTGCTGGAGGCTTCCTCCCTGTCTCCCTTGGAGCCCATGCTCATTCAGTGGTGCACCCCAATCCTCCCACCACCCCCATGCCCATACTCCCAACTGAGCCCCCCAGCCCCCAGGACCGTGCCTCCTCTCTCTCCCCCTTCCTGCTCCAGTCCCACTGACACTTGGACAGCACATGCTGGGCACCTCTGCCCCACCCCTCCTACCTCCAGCTGGCAGGGCTGCAGCGCCCTCTCTACTTGCGCCCCCCACCTTCCCTGTTTAGCCCTTGCTGCTCTTGCGGCTCTGACCGCCTCCTGCCATCTCCATTACTGTCCTTTACCTGGACACCTCTGTCACCAGAGCAAGCATGCCCATCTCACATGCCCACTGTGCCCTGTGTCGATAACTTGCCTAGCACCCAGAGCCACTGAGTGGGCGGCAATGTCCCCTCGAGTGATGAGGATCGTGTTCCCAGTTTCTCTCTCCCTCTGGAAACTCACCACTCACTTCCTTGCTCAGACTGTGGTCCATCTACCCCCACCTTGACTTGCCCCTCAGCCCTCCCCCCTCCCCAGGCCTGAGCTCCAGGGGGCACCTGGAGCAGGGAGATGGGCGAAATGGGAACAGATGTGGACAAGGGGGCAACCAAGGCACCCCTGGGCTCCCACACGTGGCTCTAGGCCCCCTGCCTCACCTCAACTGGCAATGCCTGGAAGGGACCCCCATCTCAGGAATGAGGTAGGAAAGGGGCCTCTGTTTCCTAGTGTGGCTTATGGGACATGCACATGGTGCTGCAGAGGAGCCTCAGAGGAGATGTGAGCATTCGCTTTAGCCTCCAAACTTCCTGTCCAGGAGTGGGACAGCTTCTAAGAGGCTGAGGTGTTCTCACACTAAGGCAGGGCTAACCACGGCACACCATGCTGCCCCCCCGCCTGCTGTCCTTCTCCTGGGGTCAGGGCACTTTCCAGGGTGCACATCTCACTCACCAGAGTCAACCTCTTGGGTGCAGGGGTGTTGTGTTGGTCCCATCTCAACTGCACATTCTAGAAATGATGCAGTACTTTGTCTCTGATAAACCGAGCCAGAAACTGTACCCTGTCTCCAAGCCCCGTGGCAGTGATGGCCTGCTCAGGCCTCCTGGGGACACTGCAGTTTCCATGGAAACAAGAGAGCGCACCAACCCCCAAGAGATAAGCCAATAAACGCCACCTGCGAAAGAAGAAAACAGGCAGCAAGAGAAGCGGAGGGAACCAGGGGGCCCTGGAGAGAGAGGCGATTGCGCGGCAGCTGGGCCCTGGAGCAGAACTGGAGAGGCCGCAGGCCGTGGGCCCAAGGAAAGGGAGGGCCTTGCAGGGGGGCTACTGCCCCTGGCAGACAGAAAGGAGGCCTCTGGAGGTCAGAGAGAGACACAAACAGAGCAGATAGAGCAAGGGTCAGTGAGGAGACTGGAGCGCCAGTACCTGGGCTGCTAGGGGTAGGGGACATGGGTACTCAGGGCCCTGGCACTCTCCCCCTGGCCCCACTCCCAGGATGCCTGTGCCAGCGTCCTCCTTGTACTTCCAGGCAGGGAGCCCACCCTGGACCTCCTGCCATTTGCCTGGGAGGCTGTGCTGCATTTCAGAGGATTTCCAATAGCCATCCAGAGCAGAAGCAACATGCAAGGATGATGAGTTAGAGCAGGGACCCCAGGCTTCTTGGTGGCATACTCTCAGCCCTAGTTAGGACACTCAAGAGTGAAGAAGCCCTTCAGGCCTCTGCATCCTGGCAGGAATTCCGTATGTTCCAGTGCAGCCAGGAGCTGCCACGCTCACCATCCTGCGATCCTGAGACGGAAGCTGCTTGCAGGACCTGGGGATACAGGTGAGGGGGTGGCAGGAAGACCTCTACCTGTGCTGCTCCCTGAGCACTTCCCTGGAGACTGTAATGCCACAAAACAGGGACCAAAGCTCTCTTTATTCCCGTGTTTGTGGAACGAAGACATGACTGATGAGGCGGCAGAGGCTGAGGCAGAGCCTGCGTGGACCACTCTGGGCACCCACTCTGCGTCCACCTGAGCTGGACGTGCATTCCCAAGGGTAGCAACGAAGTCAGGGACTGGAGCCCCTGGATGGGCTCCGGCGGTCTCAGCAAACGGCGGGCAGGCCTGGCCACCGCGGGCAAGCCGCGCTGTGCCGCGCCTGCCCTCCTCCCGCCCGCCCCCGGGCAGGCAGCGCCCGGCCCAGCTCTGACCTCGAGTCTCAGACGCGCTCGCCGCGGGCAGACCGACGGCCGCAGAGTCCTGGGGCTCGCCCGCCAGCCTCTGCCCGGCGCACATGGACTTGAGCATCTGGAACACGGCAAGGGGGGCCACGTTCAGCTTGAGCAGGTCCACCAAGATCCTGGCGAGAACAAAGACGCGCGGTGAGGCCCGCGCGAAGCGGACCAGGCCTCCCTGAGGACCCGACTCGGGCAGGAGGCTCTTCCAGACCCGCAGGCCCGGGCAAGGGTCCGGGGCCCGTCGAGCGCGACCCCGCGCCCGCCCGCCCGCTCACTTGAACACGTCGGGGTCGATGGCGCCGCCCGCCGCCTGCGCCAGTTCGTACAGCTCCATTTCCTCGGCGCTCAGCACCTTCTTGCGCCGCAGCGCGAGCTTCTGCCGCGTCGCCTCCAGCCCCGGGGGCGCCCCCGGCCCAGGCCCGGCGCCCGCGGCCGCCATCCGCGCGCCCCGCCCCGCCCCGCCGGGCGCTCCCACAGCGCCCCCGCCGGCCGGGCGCCGCGTCCACGCCGTCATCCGACCCCCTGACGTTTACTGAGCGCCCGCCGTGCGCTGGGCGGCGTGCTGGGCGTCGCGGGCGCCGTGGCGGACGCAGAGGCCCGCTCCTCGGCGGTCAGGGCGTCCTTCATGGGCTGCACTGGTCGTGCCCGCTTGGGGAGCAGCACCCAGAGCAGTGCCAGGCACACCCAGGGCGCTCCATAAGCGGCCGGCGGAGACAGGCGCTCACCACAAGGCCGCTGTGTTCTGCGCCGTTTCCCCACTAGGGGGCACTCGTCGAGAGCCCTAGGCAACAGCTTCCGCTTTTGCGCACGCGCACTCCTTGCCGTGGCTTAAGTACGTGAGCAAAGCCGTACGGGGCGCGGTTGCCGCCACTACGCACGCGCATTCAGCGACAGACCATCCCCCTCACCCCCAATACCTGGCCGCCCTTCGCTTTGCGCAGGCGCCTTTAAGGTAGCATTGCAAAGAGGTAGGGGCGCTTTTCCCGCCCGGCCTGGGGGAGTGACGCCAGACGCAGCTTGATGACGACATTTCGGCGCCGGGTGTCCGAATGGCGGTTTCCATCCCTGAGGCAGGCAGCGCTGTGGGTCCCTCGGGTGAGTAGCGGGAGGCGCGCGCTGGACAGCCCCCGCGCCCCAGCGGCTTCCGCGAGCCCCGGAACTCGGGCCAGGCCCTGACCCCTTTGCCCTGGCCGGGCGGCGGGGAAATTGAGGGTCCCGGCTGAGCCCTCTCGCCGTGCCTCTATCCCACTTTCCCGCGCAGCTCGCTCACCCGTCCGGTACGAGCTCGGTTAACGTTCGCTGAGCGAGTCGAGGGAAGGACAGCGCCGAGTTAAGGTCGAGCTTTAGGCTCCGCAAGCGGCGCGGGAGGAAGTGCGAGTGCGAGTCCTGGCTCGACTTCGCGCCCCCTGTGTGGCTAGGCTTCTCCGAGCCTCAGTTTCCTCATCTGCAGTAGGGGCCCCCGACAGACACTAACCAGGACAATTGTGACCCACCGCTGGGGCATGCTGCTGCTTCTCAGGGAGCAGCCAGAGGCAGGCTCTGGCAGTGACACCGTTTCCTCGGCATGACCGGTGTTGCCTGAGGGCTGCGGTTCCCAGAAGAAACCGTAGGGTCCCGAGCAGCTCCCGAAGAACCAGGCTGTTGAAGGAAGGGGATGGGGGGACGCTTGGTGCGCAGCCCGAGGAGGGGTGTGATGGAGTGTCGCCGAGGCAGGGTGGGAGGGGTGTGGAGACACTGCCCTCCCTTAGGAACCCCAGTTAGAGGCCTCTGGGCCTCACTCGGCCGCTGCCTATGGAAGCTTCCTCTGAGCAGAGACGCTTCCACGTCCTCACTCTAAAGCCCTGCCCTTTGCCCTTATCAAACAGTCCACGATGTTATGCTGCTTTGAGCATTTTGCAGTGTTTTCTTTATCAGGTTGGTCAGAAATGAGGCGTTTTATTTAAGTTTTCCTCAAAACCGAAGTTGATAGCTAGTCAAGAATTGAAAAAACCTGGGAGATGTTCCTGTTGTCAATTAGCAGAGGTTCTCATCTCCTCTCAATCCCCTCCACTACCTGTACAAGGCCTTTTTACCCCAGCCTTTCTGCTCTGCCTACACACAGGCTGCCAGTTGCCACCTCAGCACCTTTCCTGGTGCAGTTGGGCAGAGCTGAATATCATAGTAAGACCCTATCTTAAAAAAAAAAGTTTAGCCAGGTGTGGTGTCTACACTAAAACATGGGAATTGGCAGTGGGCAGTGCAGTGTGTGTTGAGTTACACAGACGTTCTCCTGGGCATCATAAAACTACATATTCTCTTGTGTGGCAGATGTTGAGATTTCATCTTTGTTTTTCCACAGTGGTTTGCTAAGGTGGCCATTCTTGATGCTCCACTGGAGGCTGCTATGGCGTTCCCTCATCTGCAGCAACCCAGCTTCCTATTGGTAAATATCAACTGCCCGCATGGGTGTCAGTGTGACAACAGTTGCATAGCTGAGGGCCTTGAGAATTATCTCCACTGACTTGAATAACTGCTTGTTGGTTGTTTTTGAGAGGCGTGTGATGGAAATAATGCCAGAATTGGGGTTAGAATCCTTCAGCTTTAGTTTGCCTCCTTATTACCGCGAGACCTTGGGATTATTCACGCTCTGAGCTCTAGTTTTCTTCTCTATAAGACAAATTGATTCAAGTGCTATTGTCCCTACTCCCCAGGGTATGAGGAAGAGGAGCAAGGGAAAAGGATGTGTGTTCCTGCCCTGTAAACCGTTATGCAGATATGGATTGTTCTAATAATTAATAATCATAACTGTTATCAGTGAAAAATAGAAAGGCCCTGCTGTGCTGGGGTGACTAAGACTGCACTTTAAATGTTAACATGCTGACAAATTAGGTATGAGGCAAATGTCTGAGATGAAGGTTCCCAGTTTCAGTTCCCAGAAGATGCTTTTTGTAAACATTCCTTTGGAGGAACATTCTTCTTGGCTGTGCCCCACTAGCGCCAATAGGTCTGACTTGTGTCCTGATAGCTCAGATCTCTGTTTCTTACTCAGGCCCTGTGAAATCTACCCTCCTTTGGAGGTAAGCAAGGCCTTAGCTATTGGGAAAGCTCTGCAGGCGGAAATTTGGGTATTTCCTGACATTAATCTGTTTGCACAGAGACCTCTTTTCTCTGTGTAGTCAGGGTGCTTTCCCCACATCCTATGACCTCAGGTACATTTCTTAGTCCTTGTCCTGAATGTTGTCCAGCCTATCCATTGCCTTCATGACTAGTGTCAACTTGCCTGAAACCATCTGTCATTTGAGCCTGCCCTGTGTTTTAAGGGCATGAGTTCAGAGGGTTCACTACTGATTAAGGCCCAGCTCGGTTAAGAGGGCTTGTGCTGTGCCCTTATTTGGATGGACATTCTCACGATCATGGCTTTGTGATCACGGGTAGTCAGTCAGGTGGGAACTTTGCAGTTCACGTGTGCAAACCCAGTGGGCTCGCTGTGGTGTGAGAGGTGCCCTGCATTGTACGGGTCCTCTGCTGCTGCCGGCTGAACCTGGGGCTGACTCCCTGCTTGTGGATCAGCGGAAGTCAGTTCGTTTCTTCTGCTGATATGCAACGCTCTGAGGTAACTGGCCGCCTGTGGAAGGGTGCCGGGAAGCCAGCCCGAGCACTGCGGGTCTAGCGAGCACAGAACTGCAGCCTGTCTTCTAGAGGTATCCTTTGGGCCACTGGCACACACACAACCCCTTGTCCCCTGGAGACAAGGCAATGGCTGTATGTCTGAGTGACACACCTCACTTGGATTTCTGTTTTGACTTGAGCCAAAATATCACCAACAGCTGCAGAGCGAATACACTCACAGTTTTTTCCCTTTGTTTTGTTTTCCAGGCCAGCCTGAAAGCTGACTGTATAAATAAGCCCTTTGCACAGCGGTGCCAAGACTTGGTTAAAGTCATTGAGGATTTCCCAGCAAAGGTACAAGTCTGCTGGGGTCTCTCTCTGGGGCTTGTCTTTCCTGGAAAACTATCATAGTCACTGATTCCCTCCTCTGAGGCACAGAGGCCTGACCTCTGTGATATCATGACTCATGTTTACGGACATGTTTAACTATGTGAACGTGTAGACCAGCAGTTCTGGACCACAGGTGCTTCTGTCCATCTCGGACATTGGCAATGTCTGAGACATTTTTGGTTGTCACCACTGGGAGCAACAGATGGGACATATGCTCCTGGCCTCTACTGGGCAGAGGCCAAGGATGCTGGAAACATCTGCAGTGCACAGGCCAGCCCCCTGCAACAAAGAAATATCCAGCCCAAAATGTCAATAGTGCCAAGTTTGAGAGACCCTAATGCAAAAACTGAAAATAAGTGTTTAAATCACACCTGGAAGCGTCAATCCCAGGAAGGTAGCCTGGACAAAGAGTTAATACCAAATGGCAGCCGGTCAATTATGTTTCAGGGGCTTCACTCTGAGAAAAGATGTTGCCACCCTTTTTAATAGAACTCTCTTTAGTTCAGACATTTCTGACATTTTAAAAAGTCTTTTAATTACAGGCTGATTTAACTGACACAAGTCTAAAGCAATGGTGCTGGGTATACCATGCGACCCCAGCAGAAGAATCCAAAGCTACTCTTCTCATTGGCATGCTGTACCAGGGTTCCTGTGGATGCAGGACTGTCCCTGTGGGTCTCTGCCAGGGTGGTGTGACCTTCTCAGAAGGAGTGGGTAGGGCAGAGTGCAGGACTTGAGCCGGGGCAGAAGTGGGCACCTGCCCACAGCCTCACTGTTTCAGGAGCTGCATGCCGTCTTCCCGTGGCTGGTGGAGAGCATTTTCGGCAGTCTGGATGGCATTCTCGTTGGCTGGAACCTCCGCTGCCTACAAGGACGGTTGAACCCTGTGGAGTATAGCATCGCCATGGAATTTCTAGATCCTGGGTAGGTAGTTTTGTCACCTTAGAAGAACTAGGTGCTTCCTCAGGGTGATCTCATTTTTAAATCAATCTGTTTCTTAATCAAAAGCTGGGTGTGGTGGCTCGCACCTATAATCCTAGCACTTTGAGAGGTTAGGCAGGTGGATTGCTTGAGAGCAGGAGTTTAAAACTAATCTGGGAAACATAGCGAGACCCCATCTCTACACAAAAATTTAAAAAAATTAGCCATGCACAGTGATGTGTGCTTGTAGTCACAGCTACGTGGGAGGCTACGGCAGGAGGATCACTTGAGCTGAAGAATTTGAGGTTGCAATGAAGTATGAATGAACTATCATACTCTAGCCTGGGCTACAGAGCAAGACCCAAGTCTAAAGCAGTTTGTAGTTCATTTGCTCTATTTTTGTTTATTTATTTAATTTTATATTCAGTGGCCCAATGATGAAGTTGGTTTATAAACTTCAAGCTGAAGACTATAAGTTTGACTTTCCCGTCTCCTACCTGCCTGTAAGTAAACTGTGATTCTGAGAGTTTCTGGGGACTGCTGGTCTTGCATAGTGGCCATGGTGGTGGGCGGGCAGGGGCTAAGAGGGCTTAGAGGCCCTGTGACAGCGGGCAGAGGAGAATGCCACATTGGCTATTCAGAGTCCAGGAGGCACCACAAATTAGAACTGCAACAGCTACTGATATTTAAAGATCATCCCAAGCTCTGTCAGTGGAGAAGGTGCCATGCTGTCTGGTGTGCTCCTGGCTGAGGGTCACATGGAGCCATGTGACCAGTTGCTTTGCTGTTCTGAGTGTCACATCTTCCAGGGGCAAATTGCAGGGTGCCTTGCTCAGGGGTACAAGAGGCAAAAGAGATGGAGCTCAAAAATGCACTGAGCTGCTGGCCTTGCTGTTTGCAGATTCTTGTGAGGATGATGGGAAAGACCCTAAGCAAAGGCTCTTATGCTCCAACACTGCTCACAGGAGCAGTGTTCCTTCCCCAACAGCCTTCCAGAAGGGCTGCAGTGTGTGTGGGGCACTGCCCGCAAGCCTCCCTCCCTCTCTGTGCAGGGCCCTGTAAAAGCATCCATCCAGGAATGCGTCCTCCCTGACAGCCCTCTGTACCACAACAAGGTCCAGTTTCCCCCAGCCGGAGGTCTTGGCCTGAACCTGGCCCTCAGTATCCTTTAGTGGCCCTGTGGTGGGGAGGCCGGGTGGCTCAGCACATGGTGCCGGGGTGGCCCAACAACTTTGTGGTGTGTTTGCCCCTGACGCTGCCATCAGATCCGTTCGAGTATTATACGTTCTTCTTTGCCCTGAGCCTTATCACTCAGAAGGTATGGAAGGGTCGCCTCTGAGTGCAGTTGGCTGCACCAGTGCCTGCTGGGAGGGGCATGGCTGAGGCCCAGAGCTCCCCTGAGCTTGTGGGGCTCTTGGCATCTGGGCAGGGCCCAGAGCCCACACTGACGACAAGCTTGGTTTTCCAGCCACTCCCTGTGTCCCTCCACGTCCGTACATCAGACTGTGCCTACTTCATCCTGGTGGACAGGTACCTGTCGTGGTTCCTGCCCACTGAAGGCAGCGTGCCCCCCCCACTTTCCTCCAGCCCAGGGGGGGCTAGCGCCTCACCAGCTCCCAGGTAAGGCCGCCCTGGCCATTAAGGGAGTGGCCTGGTCAGTGACATCACCCATGAGGACAGTGGTGCCACCCTTTTCCAAGGTTCCCCAATTGTTCTTATGACTCACTCCCCAACCCCAGCTGTCCAAGCATGGATTTGAAGACAGGGTGAGGGAACATCTGCGTTTTAGTTCTTGGTGTCTGTGGCTGTCACTGAAGCTGTCGGGTCTCTGGCTTCCTTGAGGCCTCACTGTGGTGTGGGAACAGGCTTCTGTTCTACTCTGAGCAGCCCTCCCTGCAGGTGGTGTCTCAGCTCAGCCCCACACTGAGTGGTGGGCAGGCCGGAAGGGTTGTCTATGACGAAAGAGAATGTTAAGAATCTGTGTGGGCCCCTGGTCCAGGTCTTGGCCAGAGTGCAAGGCCCTGAGCTGAAGAGCTTTTGTCAGGCCAAGCAGCCTGAGCCTGACACTGGGGTATTGGGGCAGGGGGTGGCACTGGGGGCCTCCTGCCTGGCTACTCTGGGGCCTCGGTGGGCCCTTATTGGAGGCCTCTTGGCCCACTCCCCAGAAGACCCTCCTGCCCTGACGGCAGCTGCCTGTGCTCTTCTGACCCTCATGACCCATCTCCTTCCCTGGGGGGGCTGCATGTCTGCGTGTCCCCAGATTCTGCTCACTGACCTCTGCTGGCATGTGCAGTCTAGGCCCTTATCCAGAACTCACACATGAGTAGGGTAGCTGAATTCTGCCTTTGAGAGGACAGAACCTGCCCCACCTCTAAGTCCTTCTCGCCCACAGCCTCACCAATCTGTCAGGGTCACTGGCCACTGCTGTCACCTGGGCAACCTCTCTTACCCCATAACTCTCACACCACCACCCTGCTCTCCACACTCTGAGAGCATCTGTTAAATATGTTTTGTTTTGTTTTTTTTTCTGGTCCATGTGAGTAAGTTACAGGACCCCAGCCTCTTAATTTTATCCCTTCTACATGGTATTAGTGGGCACTCTATGATAAGGAAGACTTTTCTCTTCCCCATTTATTTATTTAAGTAATATCAGTAGGGGCCTGGCGGTTGTCATGTGATTAACAGGTTATAATTCATTATTGTTCTTGTTGATTTTGTTGTTCACGTTGCCCCTGGCTTGGCCAGTGGGTGGGAGACCTGTTTCTGTGTCTCTTTCAGGACCCCAGCCATGTCCTTTGCTTCCTATGGCCTCCACCACACCGGCCTCCTGAAGCGACACATCTCCCATCAGACATCTGTGAATGCAGACCCTGCCTCCCATGAGATCTGGAGGTCAGAAACTCTGCTCCAGGTGAGCACAGAGGACATTGGTCTCTTCTTGTTTCAGAGTGAACTGCTCAGCCGCCATCCACCATGTGGGCAGAGTCCCAGAGACGGCCCCTCAGCCTAGGGGGGTTTCTAAACTGTTGGTGTTTTCTTTCTGTGACATTTAGAGAACAGATGAGAAGAAAATGTCATTGACAATGTTTTTCATCCCAGGACTCCTGTCCTTGGGAGTTTTGTTTGGTTTTGCCTGTGGTGACATAATTGTTGCAGAGTCTTTCACTTTTCAGTGGATGTGTGTAAATGTTGTCCCCACTGCACCTTGCCCCTCTGACTTCCTTCCATGTTATTCAAGATGTGTCGTGTGCTCGCTGTCATGTGGGTAGTGAGCCCTGCCCCAGCAGCATTTTCATCATGCTGGATGGTGGGGGGCCTGTGGTAACTCCCCTTTGATTGGCAGGGAGCCCCCAGCTCTTGCGTGTCAGGGGATCCAAACGGGAGGCGGCAGAGACCCTTGTTTGCGCTTGTGGGCTCTAGCCTCTCACACGGGCATGGGCTGGCTCACTCACTGAGCAGTCCTGCTCTTCTGAGCCACCTCCCAGGCCCTGGTTTGTCTTCTGAGCACACATTGGAGATTCAGCTGGTTTGACCTGGATCCTGGGGCTGACTTGGTAACCACAGCATTGCTGGTGAGAGCATGGAACATGGATCGCATGGGGTTCTGCCTCTCCCACCTCCCACATGACTCCTAGTGTGTAGGATACTGTGCTTTTTGAAACCTCCATGTTATTTTCACAGCAGCCTTGGGACGTCAGACTGGTAGGAATCATCACCTCTGTTCACAGGGGACCATGGTGGCTCAGGCAGCTCCCGGCTGCAGTGGGCTCGGGTTGTGTCAGCCCACGAGGAAGGCAGGTGACCAAGACACAGACTTGCATGGAAGAATTGGAAGTTTCTGTTTCTTGGGCCAATTTTAATTATAAAATACATACAACATGGTGTTTATCGTCTTAAGCATTTAAGAGTGCACAGCAGTGTTAAGTACATTCACATTGTTGTGTATCTAATCACCAAAATGCCTTTTATTTTGTGAAGTTGAAACTGTACCCATTAAACAACTCTCCATTCTCCCCACCCTGACCCCTAGCACCCACTATTCTACTTTCTCTTCCTATGAATTTGACTACTTCAGGTGCTTATATCTAGAGTTTTATTTAGGCTGTAGAGTATTTATTTTTGTGTCAATGGCTTACTTCACTTTAGCATAATGTCCTGAAGGTTCAACATACCACATTCTATTTATTCACCTGCTAGTAAACACTTGGATTGCCTCCACTTTTTAACTGTTGTGACTAACACTGCTTATGGGTGTACAAATATCTAGAGATCTAGCCTTCAGTTCTTCAGGGTATACACTTAGAAGTGAGGTTGCTGGATCATATGGTAATTCTATGTTTAATCTTTTGAGTAAGCACCATAGTGTTTTCTATAGTGGCCGTACCATTTTACCAATTCCCACCAGCAGTGCACAAATGTTCCAATTTCTCTACTTCCTTACCAATACTTGTTATTTTCTGTTATTTTTCTTTATCATAGTCACCCTAGTGTGTGTGAGGTGATATCTGGTCGTTTTGATTTGCCTTTCTCTAATGATTAGTGAGGTTGAGCATTGTTTCATGTGCTTGTGGTCCATCTGTATGTCTTCTTTGGAAAAATGTCTATTCAGGTCTTTTGCCCAGTTTTGAGTCAGATTGTTTGTGTTCTTATTGCTGAGTGTCAGGAGTTCTCTATATATTCTGGATATTACTGCCTTATCAGATACATGATTTGCAGATATTTTCTCCCATTCCGTGGGTTGCTTTTTCACTCTGTCAGTAGTGTCTTTTGGTGCATAAGAGTTTTGATTTTGATGAAGTCCAATTCTCTATTTTTTTTTCTTTTGTTATTTGTCCTTTTGATATCATAGCTGAGAAAGCATTGCCAAATTCAATGTCATGAAGCCTTTCTCCCATGTTTTCTAAGAGCTTATGGTTTTGGCTCTTACATAGCTTGCTGATGCATTTTGAATAATTTTTATATATAGTGTGAGGTAAGGGTCCATCTTCATTGTTCTGCATGTGGATATCCTGTTTCCCCAGCACCATTTGTTGGAGAGACTGTCCTTTACCCGTTGAATGGTCTTGGCACTATTGTCGGAAAGATTTGACCAGCTAATGCTCTTTTGCAGGTTTTTGTTGAAATGTGGCTTCATCATTATTCTTTGGAGTTGTACCAAAAAATGCAGTCCCCTCATGCCAAGGTACGTTTCTACAGTTTTTCTTCCCATCTCTGCCTTTGGCCCTGGTATACCTGCTACTTCTTGTTCTCGGTCTGAGTTTTCGCAGGCTAGATGGTGGGAGCAAAGTCCCACCATCCACCCCTCAGATGCCAAACAAAAGGTGGGTGTTGTTCTCCAGTTCTGGGGAGCCTTGCTCCCTGACAGGTGGGCACTTGAGGGGTCTTGAGGTCTGTCCTTTCAGGGATCCTCTCTATGTGGTTCCAGAGCCCCCTCCCTGGCAGTAGGAATGCGTGAGGTTGTGATGCTCTTGCTGTGGGGGCAGAGGAGCTACAGGTACCTCTGTGAGTTGCGGCCCAGTCAGTCCCCTATACCACCAGCAGTGCCTTTGTTCTTTCCAGTGAAGTGGCAGCCCCGGGCAGCCCCCATCTACCATGGTAACCTTGAGCCTCCTTTGCTGCCCATGCTCCTTTAGAGCCGTTTTCATGGTGGGTTGGGCCCAATGCCCCACTGCATGCAGCCTGCCTTCCCTTTCCTCTCTCTTCTCTGCTCCCCCCCTGGGCAGTACGCTCATTTGCGGAGGTGGCAGAGTCCTTGGAATTGTGCTGGTATCACCATGCCTGGGGCCAGCACCCCAATGCACTAATCAGAGTAAAACGGTGGCAGGGTGTGCTTAGATCCTCCATAGTTAGAGCCACACTCTGCAATAGCTTGGGCTGCTGGACAAAATTTTTGAGGGCATCCTTCGGAATGAAGAATCTGTGGGTGAAGAGTTTAAATTGAGAAGGGTGTCCTGTAAGGTTTCATCTGATTCTGGGGAGAAGCTGTGGGTCTGCTCTTGCTGCAGAGTCTCTACAGCCAGGTGTGTAGCTGTGTTCTCTGCTATGTGGACACTTGGGGCACACCCCCCCTGCTCTCTCAGAGCACAGGGTACCCCACATCTCTACCCTGGGCCTTGAGTCACAAAGAGCCTGCAGTACCCTCCCTGCTCCCAGCAGACTTGCTGCATGTTCCTGGCTGGTGCCCTTGGATGCAGACACTGGGCGTCCCTGGGCCCTGCTTCTCCCCTGGGCCTGAGATGCTTGCTCAGCCCTGTGCACGGGGCTTGGCCTTACACGGGCAGGGACCACTCTGCTGCATTGTCTTCCTGTCTGTTCATCCTGTCTTCTAAGCGAGTTGGAATATGCCTACTTTTAAGGGCCACCCAGGAAAGCCCTTCTGGGGATCTAGCAGGGAGGAAAGCTGTGAGGGGAGATGCCTCCCTGCTCTCCTCCTTCCTGCCCCATCCTGCTCTGTGTGTCTCCTTGGCATCTGGCGAGTGCGTTCTGACCTTCCTGTGTGAAGCCCAGTGAGTGTGCTGCTCGGCCAGGAGGGAGGGCCCTTGCAAGGGCAGCATGTGCGCCGGGCTGGCTCTGGGTTGCGCTTGGCTAAGGGTGCTTCTACAGGCCTCCACGTGCCAGGGAGCTAGGTGGTGGGGCTGGGGGCCAGACAGCATGCCAGCTGCATTGTCTCCCTGTGTCCTGGGCTGTCCCAGCCTCAGGGTTCCTGCTGCCTCTGGGTGTGTGTGGTCGGATTCTCAGAGGCTCCTGCCCTGCGGAGCCAGGTGCATCTGGAGGGCAGGGGATCCTGGTGAGGTAGGAGAGGCTCTTCCCACAGTTAGAACCGGTGAGCACAGCGCCTCCACTGATTGCCAGAACATAGGCTGTGGAGGTGGGGTGAGGCCCGGCCGGCTGAGGCTGCACTTGCTATCTGTGCTGCCCTCGGGATCTTGTCCCATCATCTCAGTTCTCAGAGTCATTCGTAGAGGGGATACTAATTGGGTTTTACACACATAGAAGTTGATCTGTCCCATGCTGATTTGGTTAATTTCTCAAGCTAATCTAGGGAAATCTAATAAGTTAGATATTTTTCTTTTCTGGGCAGAGTCTTCCTTCCATAATGTGCTTCCCTAAAATTTCTTTTCTGAGTCTAATGGCCTTCAGGGACTTGGTGGCTGGTAGGGTGTCCCAGCAAGAGCCCCGGGCTCCTGGTGTGCTGTGGGGTGCATGTGCCACACAGGGTATGGTCCCAGGGTCGGCTGGGAGGGTGGGTCCCTTCTGGAAGTGCAGCGAGTTGGGCCAACCTCGTGAAATGGGAGAGGCCTTTAGGACCAAGTGACATTGAGGGGCCTCCAGGTGATCTTGAGGGTCTGTCTGTCCCTTGGCCTACACGGCCATGGCTTTGCCTGCCCAGAGTCCCATATGGGCCTCCAACAAGGGTGGTGTGCTGGCCTGAGGCTGCCGGGACTCTCTTTATTTAGGTTGTCACTGACCGTGCTTTTGTTTTTGTCTTTTGTTTTTTGTTTCTTCTCTTTACTTCTGGGCTGTTCTCACTGTTCTCTTTCTCTCCCCACTTCCCCTCCCTGTCCTGTCCATCTCTGCCCTTCCCCACCCATCCTCTTGTTCTCTACTCTCCCTGCCTTTTCTCTGGCGTCTCTGTCCTGTTGTCTCAGCTGGAGGTTCTGCACTACCGGCTCAGTGTCTCCAGCGCCCTCCACAGCCCTGCGCAGCCCAGCCTCCAGGCCCTCCACGCCTACCAAGTACTGGCTGCTCTCATTTTGTTCCCTTGCCGTGGTAAAGCACGGAGCGTGCGTCAGCACAGTGGCCGGGCGAGGGTCTGGCCAGGGCCAGCTGCGGGTGATTCTGAGGGCTTGTTCCAAGTCTAGTGAAGCCTGTGTGCTGAGAGGAGCCCTCAGATTTATAGACTCACCTGGTCTGTGGCTGTGTGATGGAGCAAGGAGCACATGGCCCTGGCTGGCCGATCCTTCTGCCAGTGGAGGTGTCACAAGTTCTCTGGTGTTGGAGGGCGCCATGCTTGGCCCCACTTTGAGGAAACTAAAATAGTCACTGGCCTGGCTCAACCAGAGGGGCAGGGCCTGGTGCTCAGGAAGTGGCCAAGGATGCTGAGGCCCACGGACTTATGGGTAGTGTGGGGTCTGCCCCATTCAGGGTGGCCCCAGCCTACATGTGAGGCAGAGGGGTGGGGAGTACCAGAGGCTGTGTCCCACAGCCCCCAGAGGCTGCCAGCCCTTGACAGTCCAGCCAGGCTGGCCTTTGCCACTCATAGACTCTTCCCAAGGCAGATGAGAGCAGGCTGTGACCTCATGGAGATCGAGGTCTGCCTGGGCTGAAAGGACAAGTGTGGAGACAGACTTGAGGTCAGTGAAGTGGAGTTCAGACCTGTGCGGCATTTTGGGGACAACAGAGTTAGCTAATTTGTGAGAGATGCAGAAACGTGGAGCTGTGCTCTTGGCCTGAGGTCTGTCCAGTCCAACCTGGGAGGGAGCACACAACAGTTGAACGTTCATTTGAGCACAAGATGAGAGGGTTAGAGGGCCCAGGAAGGAGGGATGTTGTCCTGGGGAAGCATCTGGCTCTGTTCACACACCCCCAATCCCCTCCCAGCAGAAGAGATGGCAAGTGAGGCTGCGCCTCATGGGAAATGCAGGAGCTTTGTGGACACTTCCTTAAAAGCTTAAAAGTGAGCAGGTGGAGGCCAAGTGTAACTGTGGCCAGGGCCCCACATGAGAATATGACCCAGGAGGGGTGCAGAGTTGGAAGAGCCAGTGCGGCCTGGAAACCTGTGGGAAAATATCCTGCAGAGTTCCTGTGGCTGGGCGGGGCGCAGCAAGGGCCTGGCCCTCCATACTCTGCAGGACGGCCCGGAAGCAGGTGTTCGCTCAAGCCGGGGAAGGTGGGTTCTCAGTTCCCGTGTGGGTGCTGTCCCCTCCTCTTAGCCGCAGGGATGATACCATGGGTGAGGATCCCAGGCCAGGTTGGATGGAAGGACCAGGAACGGGACTAGAGCAGGAGAAGGCTCCTGCCGGAGCCTCACCGCCTGGCACTGGCGCCCCTCTGCTCCCCTAGTCTGTTAGTGCTGGGGGGTATTGTGTCCCCTGCTATTCTCCTTCCTTCAGAATCATGCAGATTCATCGCACAAACACGTACAGATACAGACAAGCAGAAGAAACTGCCTCCCACTCTGTAGTTCCATCCTCCGACTTAGCCCCTGACTTGTGGGCTGTGTCACCTGCATGTGTGCAGGTGTTTTCATGGCGGGGAGACCTGAGTTGACAGTGCTGTGGGCAGTGGCCTGTGTGGGGGCTGCTGCATATCAGAGTGTGCCAGGAGGCCAGGCTCTGTGCTGGCCTCAGCGTTGCAAATGTGTTTAAGGCCCAAAGGGCTGATACACAGGTGAGGAGAGGTGTGTGTCTGCCCAGACTCAGGGTCCTGCCTTCAGGCCTCCACCCCCGACACTTCCTGTGCCCCAGTCCACTCACAAGGCTCCCACCTTCACCCCCACAGCTGGCAAACAGGCTTCATCTCGGATCTGGGTATCTAAGGTCCTGCAAATTAAAAGTTAGGCCCACACTCTTGATGGTGCTCCTGGGGGTTTGCTGACCACTGGTCCATGGGCAACAGAGGCAGTGACGCCTGGGCTCCTCTCGGCTGAGCCCCCATCTAGGTGTGTTTAGGAGGGGAGGGGGGAGAAGCTGTGGCCCCAGGGAGCTTTCTGCACACTCCTGGGAGGCAGGCGGGAGGGCCTGGATTCAGAGCTGGGGGCAGATGCCAGCTTGCCCCTACCCCCTGAGGACCAGGATAGGCAGCAGTGCCCAAGGGCACAGCCTAGTGGACCATGACCTGTGCTACGCCCGAGGGTGTAGGGTGGTGCAAAAGTGGGGCTGGGAAGCACTTTGCAAATTTGCCTATCGTAGTGAGCCCTCCACGGGGGGGCAGGTCGTGCAGGTGCCCAGCCAAGCATTCCCCCAACCTGGGGTGCTGGCCTCAGTTGAGACCAAACAGTGTGAGTGCTGGGTGCCAGGCACAATGGTGTCCCGGGACTGGCCCCATTCCCAGCCTGGCTCGTGCCTTCTGTCAGGGAGCAGAGTGATCAGCCCAGGGGCGCATGTGATTGGACCTGGGGGCTGAGCAATTGGGACGCTGCAGACCTCCCTGGGCCCTGACACCCTACTACTTCTCCTCCTCCTCCTCCTCCTCCTTCTCTTCATCCTCCTCCATGGTAGGAGTCATTCACGCCCACCGAGGAGCACGTGCTGGTGGTGCGCCTGCTGCTGAAGCATCTACATGCCTTTGCCAACAGCCTGAAGCCAGAGCAGGCCTCTCCCTCCGCCCACTCTCACGCCACCAGCCCCCTGGAGGAGTTCAAACGGTGGGTGCAGGCCATGGGCTGGGGCTCCTGTGGCTTTTGACAGCTGCCGTGTCATCCTCCCGTCCTCCCCCCTGCCCAGGTGTCACCCACAGCCCCCTCTGCCCAGGACATGGGGCAGGGTGAGGGGTGGTGTCCTTGCTCTGGGAGCAGTGAGGCTCTGCAGGGCTGGGGCTGCGCAGCCCTGACTCCTCTCAAGCCTGTCTCCTTGCCTCCGCCCCCCCAGCTGCTGGCCCCTGGCTGCAGCTGCTCCCCAGGCCTTCCCTGCAGCCCTGCCCTCTGCAGTGCAAAGAGCCACGCTGGCCAGAGAGGGGCCCCATCCTGCTGCTCTCTTGTCCCTTCATCCACAGGGGCAGCAGAAGTGGGAGCTCGGCACTATGGCAATCTGCTCCCCATCCCCCATCCATCAGGAGAAGGGCAGGGACCCGGGCCTGACTCCTGGCCTGACTGGGGCCTGCCGAGCGGGTGACTTGTGTAGGGCTGAGGTCAGGTGCACACAGGAGCCATATTGGCTCCGCCACCTTCGTGCTGTGTGTCCTTGGGACTTTCCTTACCCTCTCTGATGTTGGTTTCCTCTCTGAAGAGTGGGTCTAGCTCCAGGGGTGCCCAGCGCTCTCCAGCGGCAGAGCCTCGCCTCGCTAACAGAGGTGCTGGGTGAGCAGCAGGTGACCCCCTCCCCTGCAGGGCTGCTGTCCCGAGGTTTGTCCAGCAGAAGCTCTACCTCTTCCTGCAGCACTGCTTCGGCCACTGGCCCCTGGATGCGTCGTTCAGAGCCGTGAGTGCTTCCCCGTCCCACCTTCCCCTCTGCCCTGCGTGTGGCCCATGCGGGACTCCACTGTTACTGCAGAGGCCTCGGGGGCCACGCTGTTCTGCCTGCTTGGGTTTCCAAAGGCAGCTCTCAGGTGCAGAAAGGCCCCGCGTGCCCCAGTGTCTGAGCAGGCCTGGTCCTGCCCTCACCCGCTGCCCTCGGCTCTTTCAGCTGGGAGAAGCCCGCTGGCGATCCTGGCTTCCAGAGGGCTGCGCCAGGCCTGCCTGTTGTGTCTCTGGGGATGCGGGAAGAGCCCACCACTCCCCAGCATCTGCACTGAGGTCAAGGAGAAGCTGCCAGAACCTGGCGTGGACCCCCCGCCTAGCTGTCTTCTGGGAGCCGGGCTCCAGGCTACTGGAGGATGTGACTAGAAGCCCAGAGCCCAGCCCCACGGCCACCAGCTGCTGGGCCTTCAGAGCACTCCTGTCCCTCCCCAGGTCTTAGAGATGTGGCTGAGCTACCTGCAGCCGTGGAGGTATGCACCTGAGAAGCAGTCACAGAGCAGTGACTCCCAGCCCCGGTGTGTGTTGGAGAAATGGTGAGCCCCTGGCCCCTCCTCCCAGCGGTACACTGGCTGCCCCAGCCAAACGCTGCTCCCGGGGGCATCCTGCTGGCGGCCTGTGCTGTGATCACCTGGCCCTGCCCCCCCAGGGGCCTCCCGGGCTCCTGTCCCAGCCCCTGCCTACTGGGAGCACAGGCCACCCTCCTTGGACTGAGCTTTGCAGTGCCTTGGAATTGATTTCCCAAGGAAGCATCTGTTCCTGTCCTTCCCGGTCCCCATGCCCTTGGCTGTGCCCTCCCGGCCCAGATGTGTGTTCAAGTCACTCTCAAACCATCCCTCACCCTTTCTCACCAGCACAAAGCTGAGTGGTGGCCACTTCATCTCCCGCTCGTTCCTCCTGGCTGCCCCATAACCCCAGGCTGCCTTTGCACCTGGTGTGGCTGGTGATGTCTCCTGTCCTCACCTGAGGCCTTTCCTTTCACCTCTCTGGCGGGTCTTCCCTCTGCCCCATCAGGCTCTGGCCAGCTCTGCTTTGGTGGCCTCAGTCCTCTTGGAAACAGGCCTCATTCTTCCTGAGGATATGTTATCCTCAGAGGGCCTAGGTCCCACCTGCCTGTGTCCTGCCCTTCTCCCTGCCCCCTGTATCCCGCTGAGCTGCCATTATGACACCTTCACAAGGCCTTCTCCAAGGAGAGTCTGGAAACCCAGGGGCATGCAGGGGTTATGGGGGCATGACCAACATCACCCCCGCCTCCAGAGGGAGGTTTGGCCAGGGTCCTGCACAGGCTGGCCCCAACCTGCCACCTCGGTCCCCAGGGCACCCTTTGTTCAGGAGAACCTGTTGATGTACACCAAGCTGTTTGTGGCCTTCCTGAACCGTGCACTCCGCACAGATCTGGTCAGCCCCAAGAACGCTCTCATGGTGTTCCGAGTAGCCAAAGTATTTGCCCAGCCCAACTTGGCTGAAATGATCCAGAAAGGTAAGTCCTCAGCCCAGGGCCAGCCAGACAGGCCCTGCTCTGCTCAAACCGGGGCTCGGCCCTTAGCTGCAAGACAGCAGTATGTCCATGGCTCCCAGGGCAAAGTGGGTGCACATATGCAGGGTGGAGTCTGAGACTAGCTGAGCCCCCTCCCTGTGGCTGCTGCATGCTGGGTGGGGACTGCAGGTAGACTGGGGCTGCAGAGCCGTGAGCCAAGCCTCCTCCGTAATCCCCAATTCTCTTGGTGGCGGTGTCAGGAGGTGATCTTCTTGGTCCCTGTCATGCTTATGTCTTGGCTTTGTTGAGTGTCAGCTTCTTTTGGCCTTTGTCTCCCTGTCAACACTGCCATGTCCCACGTACTGCATGGGAGACTCTGCTAGGCAGGACCTTGGGTGGGCACACCATGGCCACTGCTCCTCAGAAAAGGCAGCCAGTACTCTGTGCTTCTGGAAGAGGTGCTAGGTGTCTGCAGACTTGTGTCCTACCTTCCAGGTGAGCAGCTGTTCCTGGAGCCAGAGCTCGGCATCCCGCACCGCCAGCACCGACTCTTCACGGCTCCCACACTCACTGGCAACTTCCTGTCGCCCTGGCCGCCGGTGGTCACGGATGCCTCCTTCAAAGTGAAGAGCCACGTCTACAGCCTGGAGGGCCAGGACTGCAAGTACACTCCGATGTTTGGGCCTGAGGTCCGCACCCTGGTGAGTGGGTCGGGGTCCCTGGGGCTATAGGGACGAGCAGAGCCAGGGATGGTGCCCACATTTCAGGACAGAGAGGAGGAAGTCTGAGTGTCAAGTTGATACTACTGCACATCCCCTCCTTTTTATTTCCAGGAAAATATCATTTCTTTCTGGTAATGAAGGCAGTGTTTGTTGGGAAATTTTCCCTTTCGAAAGCCCATCAGTTGGTCTTTAAAAGTCCCCCTGATGGCTGTGCATGGTGGCTCACACCTGTAATCTCAGTGCTTTGGGAGGCTGAGGCAGGAGGATTGCTTCAGGCCAGGAGTTGGAGGCTGCAGTGAGCTATGATCACACTACTGCATTCTAGCCTGGGTCACAGAGTGTCTCTTCAAAAAATAAATTAATTAAATAAATTTAAAATTAACAAAAGTACTCACTCAGAAGCCACCCTTTCTGATCACTCACATTCCTCTTGGGGCACCCTGGAGCCACGCTGCATGGGTGGCAGCACATGCCCATGCTGTCAGTGGTGGGGTGTAGGAGCATCTGAGCAAGTCAGCTGACTTCCCTGTGCCCCTGTAGGTCCTTCGCCTCGCTCAGCTCATCACACAGGCCAAGCAGACTGCCAAATCCATCTCTGACCAGTGTGTGGAGAGCCCAGCTGGCTCTTCTTTCCTGTCATGGCTGGGCTTCAGCCCCATTGACACCAACTGCCCCTACCCAGCCAATGACCTGGACGAGATGGGGCAGGACAGCATCCGGAAGACAGATGAGTACCTGGAGAAGGCCCTGGAGTACCTGCGCCAGATATTTCGGGTACGAGCAGTTGGGTCTACCCAAGGGCCATTGGGGTCCCCTATCCTGAGGGATCCACTCTCTGGCTAGCCCATGCCAGGGCCCTTACAGATGGACCCAGCACTGTGGGGGATAGTCCCGCTCCTGGAGTGTTGTGTCTGGGTCCCCTCGCTGTCACTGTTAGAGGCCAGTGGATGAAGAGCAGGCCTCTGCCTTCACCTTGAAATTGAAAGTAGAGGCATTTCTCTGACAGCTCAGCGAAGCCCAGCTCACGCAGCTCTCACTCGCCTTGGGGACCACTCAGGATGAGAATGGAAAGAAGCAGCTCCCAGACTGCATCGTGGGTGAGGATGGACTCATCCTCACACCCCTGGGCCGGTACCAGGTGAGGGACCGTGTTTTGGAGGCGTCCGCCTGGGCCTTCTGACCCGGCCTCAACTCCCCCAGCCCCAGTGGGCAGAGAGGGCTCTTTTGGGTGGCTTATCAGGATGTCTTTAATATCTTCTGACCTCTCCCTGTGGCCTTGGTTTCTAGATCATCAACGGGCTGCGAAGATTTGACATCGAGTACCAAGGGGATTCAGAGCTGCAGCCCATCCGGAGCTATGAGATCACCTGGTTGGTCCGTGCTCTCTTCCAGCTGTCGTCTGCCATCAACCGCAGAGTGAGTGGGTGGGTGGCAGGGCCAGCCTAGCCTCTTCCAGAAATGGGTTCCAGAGGACGGTCTTGCCCAGCAGTCCCTCCCCTCAGCGTTCCCATTCCATCTGAAAAGCTGGGGTGAGACTGGGTGGAGAGTAGTCTTGGGGGAGGGTTTTTTTTTTTTTGAGACAGAGTCTCGCTTTGTTGCCCAGGCTAGAGTGAGTGCCGTGGCGTCAGCCTAGCTCACAGCAACCTCAAACTCCTAGGCTCAAGCGATCCTCCTGCCTCAGCCTCCCGAGTAGCTGGGACTACAGGCATGCGCCACCATGCCCCGCTAATTTTTTCTATATGTATTAGTTGGCCAATTAATTTCTTTGTATTTATAGTAGAGATGGGGTCTCGCTCTTGCTCAGGCTGGTTTCGAACTCCTGACCTCGAGCAATCCGCCCACCTCAGCCTCCCAGAGTGCTACTTGGGGAGGGTTTGTCCTGAGCCCTGGGGTGGCCTGTGAGGTGGCACCTGCCGTCCCCAGCCCACCTGTGTCTCTGTCTGTTTCAGTTTGCAGGTCAGATGGTAGCTCTGTGCTCCCGCAATGACTTCCTTGGCAGCTTTTGTCGCTACCACCTCACAGAGCCAGTGCTGGCCAACAGGCACCTGTTGAGTCCCGTGGGGCGGAGGCATGCAGCTAGCCAGGCCCGGGGCCCCAGGCTCAGCCTGCGCTTCCTGGGCAGCTACCGGACGCTGCTCTCACTCCTGCTGGCCTTCTTTGTGGCCTATCTGTTCCGGGTAGGGCCCCTGCTCTGCACCCTGCTCCTTGTCCTGGGCTACATCCTCTACGCCATGGCCATGACGGTGCTGACGGAGCGGAGCAAGCTGCATCAGCTCTGATGGGTTGGCCGCTATCTGCACAGCAGACTGGGGGGTTTGCCTGGGAGGCCACTTCCAAGCTAGACCGTAGTCATCTTTGGGCTGCTAGTGGGTGTTTTCCTGCAACAGGGGAGTCGTTCAGAAGAAACTGAACCGACAAGGGAGAGCAGTTGAGGTGTGACGAGGAAGGGGGTGGCAGTAGAGGGCACATGTACCATGCTGTGTGACAGCCCGGCTGCCAGCCCCTCACTCGCAGCCCGAGGCCTTTTGTTCAGTAACCATTTTAGTATTTTCCTGTGTAAAGTTTAGGAGCCAGTGTGCTGGCTTCAGCCTGTCCTCCCTGGCCCTAGAGGGCAGCCCCCTCCACTCTGGCTGTTCCTAAGGAGCTACCTGACGCCGCTCTCACTCCTGCTGGCCTTCTTTGTGGCCTGTTCTGGGTAGGACCCCTGCTCCGCACCCTGCTCCTTGTCCTGGGCTACATCCTCTATGCCAGAGTGGGTTGTGACACTTCCTCTCCCCATGTGGTACTGGGATGGTGGCTCAGCCTCCTGTCCAGGGAAGAACTGAAGTTTCTAAAAGAAAATCTTAAAAAAAAAACTACAGGCTGGCACTCCTTTGATTCCTAATACAAAGCTACATTTCACGACCACGTTTGGCAAAGTAAGGGTCTATCTTCGTGTTCTCCCAGCCACTCCAGGACTGGGCCATAGAGTTCCACCTTGGAGGAGCCGAGGATCCTCTCAGAACACAAGTGCTTCACCCTGGCCCCCAAGCCATGAGCAGGTAACCCAGTGCCCAGCGTTACTGCCTGCCATACCTCGTTACAAACAGAAACTGGTCCTTGGGCATGGGGAACATCGAGGTCAAGGTTGATTGGTTGGATCTTACCATTTTCTGTTCTACAGCCACCACAGATGGTCAGAGCGTTATGTGTATCTTCAGGAAAATCAAGTGCTCAAAGACAGTGACCTTTTGGTAACACTTAAGTGTTCAAAATGTACAGCAGTTATGTGTTCACTGTCTTAAATCCCCACAGGGTCTCACATACCTACAGATGCATCCTGCAGGTGACAGCAGGGAGAATAGCATCTCAGTGGGATTTCTGAACCAAGCCTTTGTTTTTGTTGTTTTTCTATCATTTTTCAAATTATAAATGTTGGACTTTGTATTTCATCGTAAACTCAGAGTAATGGCATTTGGGGGCCTGTGACCAAAAATCAAACCAAACTTGTAACTGGCCATGGATCTGAATAAACCTGTTGCTCTTCCTGAGTCTTCCAGCGCCTTTGCTGGATCTCCAGTCAGTTCTAGTTCTTGCAGGTGTTCTTTATTTTTCTTTTTCTCCGTGAGGCCAACTTCATCTGAATCATTGAAATCTGTCCGGCAAGTGTAGAGGCAGAGAGCTGGAGCAGAGAGTTCGCACCCATACTGTCCACTTAGTGATCTTCAAAGCTGAGAAAACAAAGCCTAACAGATAAGAGAACAAGTTAGGCCACAGGTGTTTTAGTTAAAGAAAGGGTAGTTGTGAGTTTTTTCTTCAAAGGGGCACTTAGGTGTTGTGAGTTTTTTCCCCTTTCTGCTTGATAGTTTATTTTCATCTGTTAGATAAGTCGTTAGTAAGGCCATCTTTCAAGTGACAGGAGGCAAAGGCTCCTCCTCCTGGGGGGTCATTTTCCCCACATTACTCTTCTCAATGACCCTGTCCTCATCTGTACCCTTGACACTATGACTCCTGTGCTTACAAGAGCATCACTGTTGTGGCGGAGAGGGGGCCTCTTCTGTGGTTTATGGACAAATCTTGTCGCAAGTACCTTCGAGTTTGTTGGGAGATGATTTGTTTTGTGGTCCTTGGCTAGCCCCAGGAGTTGACACATTTTTGTTATTGTGAGTAGGAACTTGGACACCTTATCAAAAACTCTTCCTAATCAATCTGCCCCCTATTCTTCCTCTCTCTGTGCAGACTTCTCTTGGAAATGTTGCATTGCCACCATGGTATGGTTATGTCTCCATCTCATGTTTCTTTTGGGCACCTCCCATAATTTTGTTCTGTCAGATGATGACCGGAAATAATGGGGGAGCCTAAGGATTCCTCTGCATCTTTTCCTGTCTCATAGGCCAGTGTTTTCTGCTGAAGGGTGTCCCATTTGACCTCTGAGGGGTCTGGGTCAGTGTCTACAAAGTGAGGGTAGTAGGGGCTGTTGGTTTGGCACCAAAGCCTTGAGATTGCACCTTGAGGGCCTTGGTGTGTTGGTGGCTGCAGCACTTAGGAGTGCACAGACCATCTAGGGGGTGGGGGGTGACTTACAAGCACCAAGGTTTGCCACCTTCTTTGGAGACTTAGGAGCAGCTCGTACCACTTGTCCAGGATTGCCACACTTTGCTAACAGTTGTTTGGAAACCCCTCACCATGGGTGACCCCTTGCGATCCTAGAGGGCCACAGGATAAAGAGCTACAGCAGCAAGGAAGGCAGCAACAGAGAAGGTGCCTGCCTTGGCAGCACGTACTCTTGTGAGACGCGATTGGAACTTGGGAACTTTCCCACATCTTGGGTTAGAATTAGGCAGTTTGATCCTTTCACGCTCGCTGCACTCATTGAGACAGTGAACTCAGAGTGGTACCACACTCCTGACTCTTGCTAGGGGGAATCATTTCTCACCTGGAGCCTGGTGGCCTGTGTCTCTATCACTGATGAGGTGGAAGGAGAGCTCCATGTCCTGCCCTGCTCACTGGCTGGACACCAAATAGCCAATATAGTCCTGAACACTGCCAGGCCTGTCCCATCACTGGAACAGCACACCTGGCTCAAGGAACATCACACCCCAAGTGAGCCACTGTTTAGGGAGCAATCTGCTGTGCTGGAAACATGCCCTCTGATACTGGGATGTACCCTCCACAGTTGCACAGGGTGTATGACAGCTCCAGGCCCTGTCCACGGCCACCACAATTTCAGGAGAATCCCCAAGGCAACATAGGACAACAGCAGTAAGCAGCCATACAGACCAGCATGAAGGAATGTCAAGAAGCTGGGAAGGGCAATTGGGCAGAGGGCAGCCCTTTCTCACAGGTCTCATGTAGCAACAGCCTCCATGCATACACAGGAGAGGACTTCCTATTTTTCAGGATCATTTGGGATGAGGTGTCCTGGTTTCAAGGAGTTACTTTCTGTTGGGTATGTTAAAAAATGCTGGCAGCAAGAGCAGTTTTGTAGTTTGACACAAAGTTGGAGCAGAAACCGGGCTCTGCAAAGGGACTTCTTATCTATCTTGGTTAGCTTTGCCATGGCCTAGACCGTAACTCGTAACTAATTTTTCCCCAATACTGTTAAGGCAATAACCTAAAGTTAATGGCTAAATTCCTATGACCATACAACCTACTAAGAACGAATCAAGAAGAAATAGAAAACCTGGACAGAACAATTTAAGAAAGAAGGTTGAAGCACTAATACAAACCTGCCAACCAAGAAAAGCCTAGGAACATGGCCTCACTGGTGAATTCTGCCTGACATTTAAAGAAAAGCTAATGCCACTCCTTCACAAAATCTTCCAAAAAATTGAAGAGGAGAGAACACATCCAAACTCATTTCATGAGGGTGACATGACCAGAAGAAGATACAGCAAGAGAAGAAAACTGTTACTGATGAACATAGATGTGAAAATCCTCCACAAAATGCTAGCAAACTGAATTTAACAGCACATTAAAAGGATCATACTTAATGATCAAATGGGATTTATTTCTGGGACACAAAAGGATGGTTCAACATAGGCAAATAAATCTGATAGATCACATTTACAGAGTGAAAGGAAAAGATAGTCAATGGATGCAGAAACATCATTTGACAAAATCAACATCTGCTGAGTACAGTGCCTCACACCTTTACTCACAGCTACTTGGGAAACAGGCAGGAAGATGACTTTAGGCTAGGAGTTTGAGGCTGCAGTGAGCTTTAATCATGCCAGTACAGTCTAGCCTGGGCAACAGAGCAAGACCCTGTCTCAATTAAAAAAAAAAAAAAAAAGTCAGTACCCTTTCATGATATAAACTCTGAACAGACTAGGTACAGAAGTAGTACACCTTGACATAGGTGCTAAAGATTTTATATGGCAAGCCCACAGTAACATCATATTCAACAGTGAAAAACTGAAAACTATTCCTCTAAGATTAGGAACAAGACAAAAATGCCACTCTCCCCTCTTCAACATAATTCTTGAAATCCTAGACAGAGCAATTAGGCAAGAAAAACATAGTTATTATAACCAGAAAGGAGAAAGTAAAATAATACATCTTTGTATATGATGTGTAGAAAACCCTAGAGAGTTATATATAGAAAACCCTAGAGAGTCCACAGGGAAAAACTGTTAAAAATGAATGAACAAATTGAATGAAATTGAAGATTGTGAAATTAACATTCAAAGATCAGTTTTAGTTTTATCACTAGACATGAACTATCTGAAAAGAAAATCATATTTGCAATAGCAAAAATATAAAGTACTTAGGAATAAACTTAGCGGAAGTCAATGAAAGACTTGTACACTGAGAAGTATAAAATATTGATGTAAGAAATTAACACCTATAAATGGAATGATTTCTCATGTTACATAGATTAGATGACTTAATACTATTAAAATATGATGCAAGCATACTGTGCGAGATGGTCTACAGATTCCATGCTAGCACCTTCAAATCCCAATGATACTTTTTGTTAGGGTGATATTTTTCTTTGCCTTGCCATTAATTTGATATCCAACATTTTGTTGTTGTTTTTTTTTTGTTTGTTTGTTTTGTTTTGTTTTTGTGCTGAGGTTTAGAGTTTACTCAGGAAGACTATTGATATGTATTAACTGTTTGCTATTGGTAGAAACAGGAAGTTCATTTCCATATATAATAAAATTTTCATGTATATGAACTTTATATGCAAATGAACATATATATATATATGAATAAATATATATTCATTCTACTTAGGCCAAGTGCATTCCTGGCAATACTTTACTCCTGCTACCCTTCAGTAGATGACACTTTTTTTTGTTTGTTTGTTTTTTATTTTGGCATATTATGGGGTACAGATTTTAAGGTTTCAATAAATGCCCATTTCCCCCCTCCCCCAAAAGTCCTGAGTTCCATCATGACCATCCCCAGATGGTGCACATCTCACTCATTATGTATGTTATATATCCTCATCCCTGCCAATACCCTATTACTGTAGTACCTATGTGTCCACTTAGGTGCTACTCAGTTAATACCAGTTTGCTGGAGAATATATCTGGTGCTTGTTTTTCCATTCTTGGGATACTTCACTTAGTAGTATGGGTTCCAGCTCTAACCAGGAAAATATAAGATGTGCTATACTGCCATTGTTTCTTAGAGCTGAATAGTACTCCATGGTATACATATACCACATTTTATTAATCCATTCTTGGATTGATGGGCACTTGGGCTGTTTCCACAGCTTTGCAATTATGAATTGTGCTGCTATAAACATTCGAGTGCAGGTGTCTTTTTTGTAGAGTGTCATTGGATCATTTGGGTAGATGCTCAGCAACGGGATTGCTAGATGAAATGGTAGATTCACTATATCGCTTTAAGGTATCTCCATATTGCTTTCCACAGAGGTTGAACTAGTTTGCAGTCCCACCAGCAGTGTAGGAGTGTTTCTCTCTCTCCACATCCACGCCAGCATTTATTGTTTGGAGACTTTTTGATAAAGGCCATTCTCACTGGGGTTAAGTGATATGTCATTGTGGTTTTGATTTGCATTTCCCTGATGATTAGAGATGTTGAGCATTTTTTCATATGTTTGTTGGCCATTCTGTCTTCTTTAGAAAAGTTTCTGTTCAAGTCCTTTGCCCACTTTTTAATAGGGTTATTTGATTTTTTCTTCCTGATTTTCGTGAGTTCTAAGTATATTCCTAGTTATCAGTCCTTAATAGGATGCAAAAATTTTCTCCCATTCTGTGGGTTGTCTGTTTACTTTCATGACTATTTCTTTGGCTGTGCAGAAGCTTTGTAGTTTGATCATGTCTCATTTATTTATTTTTGTTGCTGCTGTGATTGCCTTTGGGGACTTCTTCATAAACTCTTTGCCCAGGCCGATGTCTAGGAGAGTGTTTCCAACTTTTTCCTCTAGAGTTCTAATAGTTTCATATCTTTGGTTTAAGTCTGTTATCCAGCGTGAGTTGGTTTTTGTGAGAGGTGAAGGTGTGGGTCCTGTTTTAGCCTTCTACAGGTGGCTATCCAGTTTTCCCAGCACCATTTATTGAAAAGGGATTCTTTTCCCCAGCGTATGTTTTTGTCTGCTTTTGTTCA